GGTTGGGACTTTACTAACAGGAGTCTGGAGAGGGAGGATCCTCTCTCTATACCACTTATCTTTTCTGCATGGATTTGGCAATCCTCTTCACATGTGGTACCCAATACTTTATAAAAACAAAATAATACACTTTTGTCAATCTATGAAGGTTAAAAAGGGGGAAGGGTTAAGGTTTATTTCCATGACCTATTTATTACTTTGATATTGCCAAATATACACATTAGCAGGTTTCCCAAGGTAGTTAAAATAGGATAACTCAAAAAGAGAAGGGAAAGAATTCTCAAAGAAGTCATCACCACCAAGTGACAATTAAGAGGACTTACTGTTAAGGAAGCAATCCCTTTGTGGTAGAATTTTAAAGACTCAGCAATGCAAGAAAGTGCTGAACTATAATTTTCCTCTTGCAATCCAGTGAGACACTGTTCTGCATGTGAGAACTCCTTCAAACTATTCAGCCAGAAGTAGAAGTGTTCTGAGGCAACCTGAGTCAGCAAACTCTGATAAAGCTCTCTAGCCATGTCATGATTACCCTTAAAAAAAAAAATAATAAAAAGAAAGAAAAGGAATAGAGGGACATATGATGAGACTCCTATATTTGAAAGAGTTGATGCAGCTACTAAAACACAAACCCCAACCTTGGATAAACATGAACAATCATTCTTCCTATTATATAATTCTTTGAAACACAGTCTAAATATTTCCTCAGAGAAATATGCTGAGCTACTTTTATGTAATGTAATGCCTGAAGTTTTACTTAAAGAGTTCCAAATAGAAAAAGAAAAGGAATTAATATAACCCAAGTCTAGAATTTTAGTCCAAAATATAGAAAGTATAGATACTTATTCTATGTCACTCTGGATGAGGTATTCAGTGGGATGAGGGAAACCCTGAGGGGGAGGGGTAATTGTTGGGGAGAATGTGAATGCCACTTAATGCCTGGGGACCAGGGATGCTCAGTGTCCTACAATAGTTGGACACTTGGGATGGTTCGGTATAATGAAGAATTGTTTCTCCAGTGGTGCTCTTTCCTCACTTGAGATACAAAGTGAAACTGAGAACATGTGCTTCAGTCATCTAGACTAATGCTTCTCAAACTTTGTTCTCTGAGCTTATCCCCAAAGGACTGCTGTACTAACTACGGTCTATATTTTCTCTCAAACAAAATTAATAAAAACTGTTAGGCTTTCCATATGGCTGAGAAAAGTACAGCATACTAAAACTTTCCCCTGTTTCTAAAGAATGATAAGGTGGGGGAGAGAAAAAGAAAAAAAGATGTGGTGTACTGACAAAGGAAGATAGAAACAAGAGGTGGGAGGTGGCCTTGGTTATGACAATATAGGGCAAAATTCAAGTGGCACTAAAAACGTACAGCCATAAACAGCTCAGATTTTAACTTCCTCATAACAATGATACATACCAACAACATATATACCAAAATTGGGTCCTTTTCTTCATCTTTCGAACCCATGACTAAAAAGTACTTGCATCATCATTTTCAGTTTTGACTGTGACTAATAATCACACAACCTAAGGTGCATGACCTGACTTTTCCATCAACCCAGCTCAGTCACAAGGGTAACACATACCATTCTGGAAGCCTGTCTGGCAATACGGTATACAGTCCATCCATTGGAGACGCTTTCAAGCTGCTGCTTAATTACTGCCTTTACTTCAGCAGATAATGCTTTCTGACTGGCTACAAAAATCACAGTAGCCAAACTCACCTAACATTGAGCAAGAAGTAAGAAAAGCAAGAAAATCATGTAATTTAATCCAATGTCATAGATAACCTACTAAAAGGGAGAAAAACTAATTAGAATCCATTGAAAAAGAACAAAATTTGTTTTCCGCTCACATTTAATTTTTCATTTTGAAGTTATTAAGCGATTTATTCCATTGACTCAGAGCATTATTTATAATAGAAAATTATTAGAAACAATGCCCATAAATATGAATAAATTATATAATATATATTTATAATAACAATGAGATACTATACATCAGTGAAATCCATATATTAGAGATACACTTATCAATACAGATTATTTTTAAAATAGGCAAAAATAAGCAAAATGCAAAAGATTACATGTAGTAGTGTCACAACATTGACATAAAGTTGAAAATATGCAAAATGATACTGCTTATTAATAGTTAGGGATATATACTTAGGCGGTTAAAAGTATAACATGAATGGGAATGATAAATATCAAATTCAGGATAGTGGTTACTTCTAGGAGAAGGGAGGAGATGCTATCAGGGAGGTACACGGGGACGTCAATTGTATTAATAATATTTTTTTCTTAAGCTATGTAATGGATGCAAGAGTTTTGACTGTATTGTTCCTCAGATTTTTAAAAAATATTATATTTCATAATTAAAAATTACCTTAAAAAGGGATAAAGAACATTAGTTCAAAATGCCACAAATTAAAATATTAACTTTACTAATCGCCTCTTAATATTCCAAAGCTGATACACATACACACAAAGATCCTTACATATTGTGGTAACTATATGATGTCATTCCCCTGACCACAGCCATTTGGCCCCCAGGGTAACCTTTTCTGACAGCAAATGATGAGATGGGGTCAATCTTTTACACAGTGCCCTCTGGAGGATTAAACATAAAACAGGCTTGAATAAGTCATTTCATTACTCTTTCCCAAGACCTACATACAGATGCACAGAAACAATACAGAGTGGCCCCCTTACAGCTTTCATTTAATTTATGGTTTCTTTCTAAGCATCCACCTTTCCTAGCCCCAAGAGTCTACACAAACTTAAACTGGTTCCTAAACAGCTAAGAAGGTCCTAGAATGGAAAATAGGAATTAGGGCTATAGTCATTATTACCATTAGAGTTTTAACTTACATTTTCTCTTTTTTTTCCTTTTTGTCTTTTTTCATGACCGGCAACGGATCGCAACCCTCAGTGTCGCGCCCGGACCGGACCGGGACCGGCAACGGGATC